AAAAAAAAAAAAAAAATCAGTTGTATTTCTAGCAATGATCAGAAATTAAAATTTAAAAATCAATGCCATTTATAATAGCACCAAAAAATAAGAAATAGGGACAGATTTCACAAAGATGTGTGAGACTTAAGAAAAAAATACCAGACAAACCCAAAATAAGGATATTTTACAAAATACCTGACCAATACTCCTCAAAATTATCAAATGTCAAGAACACCTGATACTAAATGCACTATCCTGGATTTTGGAACAGAAAAAGGACATGAGTAGAACCAATGATAAAATCTGAATAAAGTCTATAGTTTTAGCTAATAGGAATATACCAGTGTTAGTTTCTTAGTTGTAACAAATGTGCCCGGGTAATGTAATATGTCAACATTAGGGTAAACTGGGTAAGGACTATAAGAGAACTCTGTTTTATCTTTGCAACTTTTCCCCCTCATTTTGGTTAGAAATTAACAAGCCGATTCTAAAAGTCATAGAGAAATCCAAAGCAACTAAAATAGCAAAACCACTTTGAAAAAAAGTACAAAGTTGGAAGATTTATATATTACTGACTTCAAGACTTACTGTAAAGCTACAGTAATCTAGAGAGTGTGACACTGGTACAAACACAGACAAATCAGTCACAGATAAATACATCAACAGTACAGAATAGACAGACTAGAAAAAAGATCCAGACCTATATGATCAGCTGATTTTGAAAGAGATGCAAAGTCAATGAAGAAAGAATAGTCCTTTCAACAAATAATAGCAGAACAGTTTGATAACTATATGCAAAAAAAGAACTCCAATCTATACATTGTGCCACATGTAAAAGTTAACTCCAGATGGATCATAGAGCAAAATTTTATACTATGAAATTTATGAAAGCAAACATACCAGAAGGTCTTTGTGATCCTGGGTGAGGCAAAGATTTCTTAGATACAGCATCAAAAGCATAACCCATTTTTAAAATAGATAAGTTGGACTTCGTCAAATTAAGGCACTCTCAAACAGAACTGGAGGTCTCACACTTCCTGATTTCAAAACTTATTATAAAGCTATAGTCATCAAAAAGTTGTGGTACTGGCATAAAGACAGACATACAGACAAATGGAACAGAACAGAGAGCCCAGAAACAAACCTTCACACATGTGGTCAAATGTTTTTTGACGAAGGGTACCAAGATCATTCAATGGGAAGAGGACAGTGTCCTCAACATATGGTGTTAGGAAAACTGGATGTCCACATGCAAAAGAATGAAATTGGATCCTTATGTTGCACTCTACACAAAAATTAACTCAAAATGGATAAAAAACTAAACATACAACCTACACTGTAATGCTCTAAGAAGAAAATGCAGTAGAGTTCCAGAACATTGGATCTGCAATGATTTCCTGGCTAGCACCCCAAACGCACAGGCGACTAATGTAAAAACAGATAAACTGGACATCAAAATTTAAAACTTCTGTGCAAAGGACATAATCAACAGAGTGAAAAGGCAACCTACAGAATGGGAGAAAATAACTGCAAATCATTTATCTGATAAGTGGTTAATATCCAGAATACATGAAGAACTGCTATGACTTAATGACACAAATCACCTGATTAAAAACAGGGAAAGGCCTTAAACAGATTCCTCTAAAGAAGATACACAGATGGCCAACATGCATAGGAAAAGAGGCTCAACGTTACTAAACAGGGAAATGCAAATCAAAACCAGGATGAAGTAGCACTTCATACCCTTTAGGATAGCTATGATCACAAAAACAGAAAAGTAACCGGTGTCGGCAAGGATGTGGAGCAAACTGGAACCCTTGTCCATGGCTGGTGGGAATGCAAAATTGAGATATAGCTACTGGGGAAAATAGTATGGCGGTTTCCCAAAAATTAAAAAATTTAAGTACCATATGATTCAGCAATTCTCCTTCTGGGTTTATATCCAAAAGAACTGAAAGCAAAGCCTTGAAGAGATATTTCGTAGTGTTATTTACAATGGCCAAGAGGTGGAAGTAACCCAAGTGTCCATCAATAGATGAATGGGTATACAAAATGTGGTGTTACACATACAATGGAATACTATTCAGCCTTAAAATGGAAGGAAATTCTGACACATGCTACAACATGGATGAACCTTGAAGACATTAACATTATGGTAAGTGAAATAAGCCAGACACAAAAACAAATACTGTACGATTCCACTTATGTGAGATTTATCTAGAGTTGTCAAATTCATAGAAATAAAAAGTAAAATGGTGGTTGCTAGGGGCTGGGGGAAGGAGGAAAGGGGAGTTGTTTAGTAAGTGTAGTGTTTCAGTTTTATAAGATGAAGTTCTGGAGACTGGTTGTACGGCAATGTGAATATACTTAAATCTACGAAACTGTACAATTAAAAATGGTAAAAACGGCAAATTTTATGTTCTGTGGATTTTACCACAATTAAAACGAAAGACACTCTTAAGACACTGGAATGAGAGAAAATATTTACAAATTATGCATCTGAAAAAGAACTTACATTCATAATATATAAAGGGCTCTCAAAACCCAATAAGAAATTATTATACCCGTTCATAATTTAACAGCCATGTTAAATTAAATAGACTGACCATACCAAGTGTTGGCAAGAATATGGAACAACTGGAATGCGTCTACTCTGCTAGTAGATATGTAAAACAGTACAAATACTTTGGAAAGCAGTTTGGCAGTTTATTAAAAAGTTAAACATAAACTGACCTATGACCCAGGTATTTCACAGCTAAGTTTGTGCCCAGAAAATATGAAAGTATATGTACAAAGAGTTGTACCTAAATGTATATAGCAGCTTCATTTGTAATAGCCCCAAACTGGAAACAATCCAACTGTCACTAAGTGTATAAACTAACTGTGGTGTAGAGCCATACAACGGAATGCCACTCAGTACTAAAAATGAACGATACATGCAACCATCTCAAAATAACCAGGCTGAGTGAAAAAGCACCACCACACACATACATACATACACACACACACAACACAGTATATGATGCCACTTACATAAAATCCTAGAAAATACAAACTAATCTCTAATAACAAAAAGCAGTTCCACGGTCCCCTGAGATTGATGGGGGAAGAAAGGGACCGCAAAGGGGAACAAGAACAATTTGGGGAATGACAGATAAGCTGGTATCTTGATTGTGGTGATGGCTTCATAGGTGTATACATGTGTCAAACATTAAATTGTATAATTTAAACTTGTGCAGTTTATCTTAATTATATCTCAATAAATCTCTTTTTAAAAAGAAACAAATCCTACCAAAGAACCACCTGCCTAATAGACATTTCTCCCCAGACCACAGGATTCTTAAGGTCCTTCCAGTTCAAAACCTCTACATTCCAAATGGCATCTAAGGAGTGACCCAGGGGCCACTCTGTCTTACAATCTCTAAAGAGAGTGGAAAATGTGAATAAATCATCAATAAGGATTTCATAATGTCACTTTTAAAAAGTGAAGAATTACACAGAAGGGATAAAATATTTAAAGAGAATACACAAGGGAGAATTAAAAAAACAAAAAGAAGAAAGTTCCTGTCTTTGAAGAACTGACACTGCAATGAGTGAGACAACTAACACACAATGAACCAGAGCTACAAAACACAGCGAGTCTGGGACCACGAGAGAGGAGAGTTCACGTGTGATGGACGCACCCGGGAGGAAACACCACTGCACGCGCACTAACCCAAGTTAGCGAGATTTGTCATGCACACGGAAAACCAAGCTCTGCTGGGACCAGTGAAATCCAAGACGCTGGACTATAAGTGAGTCTACCCTAAGTTTCTCAACATTCTCAATAACTGTAATCTGTAACTACAGCTAATTACACCTCAAGGACAAGTCTAAGCCCATTTTAGTGGAATCTTTTAAATAACAGAAACACGAAAATCTGAGGTAGTTTTATCTGCAATGACTACAAATGGTATTTTTGTAGGATTCTAAAACTAACAAATCCATTTTTTCCTAAAATTTTATTTCAATTTTATTTATTGATTTTGGTATTTGCTTTGGCAGAAAACATTGCTAGTTATGATTTACTACCCATATGCTGATTCTACTATATTTTAATGAAAAAAATTACTTTGCAGGCAAAATGCAAAGTAGTATTATAAGTACATAAAGATTAAATATTAACATTTAACCAAAGTCACTAGAACTTCCATCTAAAGCGGAACATTTTTTTAGCATTAAAAAAGAAAAGAAAGAGAGAGAGTGGTGTGTGTGTGTGTGTGTGTGTGTGTGTGTGTGTGTGTGTGTGGTAGGGATGGGACAATTTCTTCCAGACTGCCTATTGAGGTACTTACAGTGCTGATCACAATCAACTCTGGCAAACACTACTTGATTTTCATTTGGATATTCTTCCTTAATGACATTAGAAGCTTCCTCAAAAATTGGATGCAACATTTGGCTGAAACGACACCTATGTACAAAGAAGGACACCAATTAAAACTGAAAAGCAGAAGCAATAAAAGCCTATTTCAGTTATTATCCACTGATATGTAGTATATGTACAATAAACAGCTTTTGAGACAATCACATAGTTAATTTAGTCATGGACCTGGAAGCCATTCATTGAAGATGAAGACAATTTTGAATTCAAAGACTATTCCAATTCAGACTGTACAATTAAAAGATTTTGTTTTTTGCACCTTAAGAAAATCACCAATATTATAAAGCACACAGCTAAGGATCTCTCACAGAGGCCAAGAAACAAGTCTGATATAAGCCCTTAGGATGTATCTCCACTTGGACTTGCAACTACTAAGACTTGGGCATTTATAAAAGAAATTAGCTTTCTCTAAATAATGAACATATTTTTAGACTACTATACAAAATCTTCAAGAGGTTAAGTTTATTGCAAATACTAGACTGATTCACCTGACTAGGTCTATCAAATTTCATAGGCAAGTTAGTATACTAAATAAGCTGCATGAAAAGAATATATAGCATACAATACAATGTTCCCCTCAAAATTTACCCCTGGTTAAAATAGGCTTTCGTATCTATGAACATATTAAATGTATTAAGTTCAGGAGCAAAAATGTGCAACTCCTAAACAAGCCTTCCTATTCATGTTTCTTTTGTCTTTTCTGTTTGTTCTGTTTTTACTTTTAAAAAGGGGCACAAACCCCACAATATTCCAGAAACTTGATACTTCCAATTCTGACTGCCCCTTAATCAGGCCAACTACCTCACAAATATGTTGTAGGTCATTAAAGGGACCTGATAAGAAAGAGAAGAATCAGAATCAGCACATAGCCAGCTGGGTTAGAACAGCCATTCTTGTATGAAAAAGGTACTGAGTATTTGTTAACAAACAAAACAAAACACAACTGTAACTGCTACTCTTGCTTCCAGAGTCCTTTTCCACCAAGGAACTTATTTAAATGAAGCCTGTGAATTCTTTAATCCGCAGGTGATTAGGTTATACCTATTAAGTATAATTCAGCAAAAGTCTGATAAAGCCCGTGAAAGGGTGCAAACTGTATCCTTCCTCCTTATTTCTTTTGGTAGATAGCTCCTCTAGCCCACTCACCTGACTTCCTAAGGAGATGTCCTAGAATATATCAAGGAGACACAATCTGTCTTCAATCTCTTGCTTTCAAGTGGCTCTTTCCTCTTTTAGCATTCTTAAATCTCTCCCATCTGGGATAGGTGGGTGGGGTCTGTGGACATCAGGGACCGTGTCTTATTTGACTATGTATTCTAATAAGCATTTCAATATATGTCTGTTAAATGATTAAATTGATAGGATGGAGGAACAGGAAAGGCTAGGTCCACAAGTTTATAGTTTTCTCTTTTTGTTTTTAGAGAGAAAGAGCGAGCACGGAGCATCAACAGCAGGGGGAGAGAGAGAATCCTCAACAGGCTCCGTGCCCAGGGCAGAGCCCAACATGGGGCTCAATCTCACAACCCTGAGATCATGACCTGAACCGAAACCAAGAGTCGGATGCTTAACCGACTAAGCCACCCAGGCACCTCAAGTTTGTAGTTTCTTATAGATTGCTGAAAATAGGGTGCTGGAGGGCAGGGGATGCATAGGGTAGGAACTGATGAATGGTTTCCTGAAGAATCAGGATATGGCCTAGTGAAGAATTAGTGCATAGGCTCCTGGCTTAAGGGCAAGGTAAAGGCATATATTAGGGGCTCCTTCTTTCTGGATTGTGCAGTTTGCTGCCCAGTAAGCATTTAAGCAAAGGTTCATGTTTAAAATAGGATCAATTTGAATACCAGAAGGTGCCTGGGAAAGATGAAATAAAAGTTCAACTGCAATATCACCATACCTTCATACACATGTATCCATACATACGGAAAGTTACATTTATAAAACATAACAAAAGCAACAGATCTATTAAAAGGGCCTTAAGGGTCATCTGAATCCAATCTCCAATCTAGTGCTTGAATCCACCCTTTACAAATCAACCAAATGGGTAAAAGTCTTTGCAGGGACAATTTGGGGGTACTTACTAGTATACTTATTAATATGACCTAGTAGGGGGGAGGGGGGAAATAAGCTTCAGAGTCAGACATACCTGAGTTTAAATCCCAGTTCCACCACTTACTAGCCGTATGACCTTTCTGAGCCTCAATTTCCTCAACCTAAAATGGAAATTATAATACCTACCTGCAGGGTAGTTCTGAGCATTAAAAACAATGTACATAAAGAGCGTGGCACATAACAGCATTATTAAGTACCTACTATGTTTCATCAGTCTTTGAAGCAAGCAGTATTTTTAGGCAGCTCCATTAAAGAATTGCTCCTTAAGCTATGCCACATTCATAACTCCAAGCAGAACTGAGAATCTAGCCTTTGAGGCCACAAGGTATAAATCTATGTCTTATGGTTAATTACCTAAGTTTTATCAGTTGAATGAAAGAGTACTAACTCATGAACAACTCAAGGTGTTCTTTGGGTAATATGCTTTCCCAAATAACCGCAATTAGTCCACATTTCCAATTCAGCTTTTGCAACAAGGTCAGTGGCACATTCTATTTCTCTTTCTTACAACACACAAAATCCCTCAATCAAGAGAACCATGTTCTAGATTTAACTCTGCCACAACTCTGTCAGGTAACCTTCGGAAGACACTTTACTCCTCTGGGCCTGAGTTTTATTTTTAAAGTGGATCGGACTAGATAATCTTATACCCAATTCTGTGGCTACTGTTACATGTGGACAAACCCAATTTACCTTGGAAAATGCTACCTTGGTTATACACTTTAGAAATGGCATTTTTCTCTGTGTATCTTCAACATTTACTGAAGTTCCTTAAATATCTATACATCATTCATTCAGTAAATATCTATTATGTACTTATCTGCCAAGTACTGTGCAGAATGCCTGGGGATTAATGTTGAAAAAAGATAGATATGGTAACTTTTCATAGAGCTAAGGCTGTGGTAGGTAGCCACCAATTAAACTACATCATACAAGTGTTCTGATGAGCTAAGTATGTGGTGTTATGGAAAGATAGAAAAAGGGTTGGAATAGGGTAGGAATACTGTTCTAGGAAGGTGACCTGGAGGAAGTGGCATCTAATCTAAGACTTGAAAGATGGTTAAGACTTAAGTATGTAAATAAATGGGTGAGAGCATAGTGACCCATCCAGGCAGAGAAAATATCATGACTGAAGGTCCAGTGATGAAAGAGTATAAAATATTACAGAAACTGAAAGATGTTCAGTACAACTGGAACAGAATGTGGGAGTGGAGAGAGGCAAGAAATTAAGATGTAGAGGTAGGGTAACTTCAGGTCTGAAGTCACTGGGGACTTTCTAGGCCAAGGTAAGGGACTTCAGACCTCAAGTTAGTGGAACACCATTTAAGGGTTTTAAGATGAAGTGTAACCTTATTCAGTTTGCACTTTAGGTAGACCACTCTGGCTTATAGAGAACAGAATGGAGACACATAAGACTTGAGGCACAGAAAATAAATTAGGAGCTTTCACAGGAATCTAGGTAAATTGGACTGTGGCCTGAAGTAGGTGGTGGCAATTAGTAGGTAGTAAGCCTTAAAGGGTCAAATAAGATACAGATTGTCTAGGAATAAGGATTATTAATGTGAGAGTTTCAAGCTCATCTCCAACTCAAGCTCCCTTCTATCTATCCCCATGTCACATTCTTTAACATCTACTATGTGTTTATGCCCTGGTTTTAGATGCTGGGAATGCTGAGTAAGACATTATCTCTGCCCTCAATGTTGGTTTATATATATACCAACAATATAAAAGACAAAATAATGCAGTAAGAAAAAGAAAGTGGTATCCAGTGCTATATGAACACAAAAGACAAGGATCTGATTCAGACAGGGGAAGGAGTAAAGGCTTCCTACAAGTAGTAGAAGATACATGTTTAAAAAGTGTCAACAATATTTCCTCCTACACTTGCCACATCCACATCCTCACCTCCAAATACTGTTTACTTCCTCAGTCAGAAAAATACAGAATTGCAATATGTACGTGTGTGTGTGTGTGTGTGTGTGTGTGTGTGTGTGTGAGAGAGAGAGAGAGAGAGAGAGAAAGAGACAGAGAGAGAAACAGAGAGATCCGCTGGCAGGGAGAGAGGATGGATTTGAGTTTTTGTTGCTGCTTTTAAGATGTGGGATAATGGAATCAGATATATTTTTCTCTTAAAATACAAATGATCATGAAATTAAGCTGCTTCCTTTGTGATTGAACCTTAACTGACTTTGTATACGGAATATTGTCTCACGTAAGAAAAAGGCTTCCCCTTCACCCTTTCTAGCAAAGAAAAATTCACATGCAGCAAGATGAGAGAAAAAAAACTAAATGATGCAACTTCACCCCCCACTGCAAAAAACAAAAATAAGATTATTACTTACCAGTCAGCATAAAAATTTACTAAAGCAACATCAGCATTGTCTGAAATTGAAAAACAAAACCAAACAATCTAAGTTAATTGTGTCCACGTAACTGACATAATCAAAGAGATGGTTTTCATCATGATCTTTTTCCTATTTATGCAAAGGCCTGCTAAAAACACACAATAACAATTAAGTTACCTCTAACTCAGAAACCCATACACAGAGTCATGGACAGGTTATATAACCTGCGTTATAGGTTATATAATCCTTTTCCCTATATCCTCCATCTTTATACCTTCATTGAATGAATATAAAACAAAAGGGGAATCAAATCCAGATCAGGAAAGTAAACTTTATACTAAATAGCCTACTCTCATTTAAAACTTCTAAATAACAAAAAATATATTATATGTTAATAAATAAATAAATAAAAGGGAAAAAAAGAAAAAAAACTACTAAATAGCCTACTCTCATTAAAAGTGAAGTGGAACTCTAGAGGGGAGGAAGGTGGGGGGATGAGTTAGCCTGGTGATGGGTATTAAGAATGGCACGTATTGAATGGAGCACTGGGTGTTATATGCAAACAATGAATCATGGAACACTACATCAAAAACTAATGATGTAAGGTATGATGACTAACATAATATAATAAAATAAAATAAAAAAAAAAGTGAAGTGGAATGATCTGGATTTGAATAATCCTTTCCCCCCCCCTTGAAAGAGAGAGTGTGAGCGGGAATGGGGGGTAGAGGGAGCAGGAGAGAAAGAATCTTAAGCGAGCCCCAAAGCAGGGCTTGATCTCACGACCCGAAGATCATGACCCGAGCTGAAATCAAGAGCCAGATGTTCAACTGACTAAGGAACCCAGGTGCCCCTTGATAATCCATTTTTTGATCTCCCATATACATGAATAACTGAGAATTGGCTCTGCAAGAAAATTCTATTTCACAGAAGAGACCTGGGTAACTAAGCCATTTCTAAAGTTCAGATGTCTCACTAGTTGCAACAAGTAATCTACAACTAATCATGTTGTATAAGATGCACATTTTCTGTTTCCTATCCATTAAACAGCTCTTCTTTGTTGCAAAAATAACAGTATCATTTGCATAGGAGGATGTGAAGTCATGAGAAAGATACATTTGTTCCTTTTGCCTAAACTTCATACAGAGAAACTAAACTCAAGTACTCACAAAAATAAAACACAAAGATATTCTAGAATTTGAAAAATGAAAGGAGAATGATTTGTGAGTTTCAATTCTCTTCTTCCTTTTTTACCTTCAAAGCACTTTTTATCCACTTGCTTCTTCACTCTGAAGCAGTGGTTCACAAACTCTACTCCCTGGACCAGAAGCACCAGTAGCACGGAGAAAATTAAAACCTTGGAACCAGGCCTAGCAGGACGGATATTAATAAGTCCTCCAGGTGACTCATGCATGCTAAAGGTTATAGAACCACTGCTCTAAAGAGATCCCATAATATGGGACAGCCTTTTTACCGTTTAAAACCAATTCCAAGAACACAAAACAGTATATGATGTTCAATGAATAACTCCTTTTACTTTTATTATTTTTGGTTTAGTTCTGCTTACATCAGTGGATGCAATGGAGTGCTTTAAAAAAAGAAGAAAGAAATTGTTTATGCATTCATTGTACATTTTCTTAAATCTCCTAAATTACGATTTTCTATCAACCATGTTTTCACCTTCCCTCTACTACTTTTAAAAACAGAAATGTTTCCCCCCCGAGATAACTGTATCCACAATCGCACTGTCAGCAAACAAAGCATTCAGTAAAACACTTATTTAACTTAACTGAACCAATGACAATAAAAGAGATCAGAGTCGGTAAATTAGTTAAAAGTTAAAAAAGACAAAATATTTCTAGACTGTGTCCTAAGATCATGAACGTTTAGTATCACACAATGGGAACTGCTGGCCTCTAAGTAAGCTCTAGCAAAATACTTTATAACAGTGGTAGTTATGACAAGGCAAAGAAATACAACAAGACTGAAAGTTTATCTGTAACACAGGAAAAGAGACTTACACAGTTTAAGAAATTTTACTAAAAATCAAAACCAAAAGTGCTTTGTTAATTCAGGAAGCCATGAAGCTAATCAGAATGCCAGCTCCTCAACTGTTCTAATAATTGAGATTTAACTTTGTTTTTGTATATAAACTGGCTCTTTCTAAAGAAGCATACTTTAAAATATCAAGGTACTTACTTAAAATGTCATCTATATTCTCTGTATCAAGACTTGTTATTTCAGTTGTTACAGGAGTAAAAACCCAGGTTACCTGGAAATTTTAAAAATGTGAAATTAATAAATGTTTTCATAAAAGGCAAATAATGCAGAAAGTCTAATAAAAAGAAAATGAAAATTTTTAATAAAGTTGATTCCACTTGTTATTTACAAAATCACCCATCAATTGGTTTTAATTTTTATTATCTTTATTATTATTCTAACCTTTCACTAGATCAACAAAACAGAAGAACTTTTTTTTTTTTTAAGATTTTATTTATTTATTTGACACAGGGAAAGAGTGAGAGAAAGAGAGCACAAGCAGGGGGAGCAGCAGGCAGAGGGAAGGGGGAAGGAGAAGCAGACCCCCCTCTTAGCAGGGAGCCCAAGGAAGGGGGATGGGCGGGCTTGATCCCAGGACCCTGGGATCATGACCTAAGCTGAAGGCAGATGCTTAACCCACTGAGCCACTCACATGCCCCAGAAGTACTAATTTCTAAGCCTAGAAACTGGTCAAATAAAACTCCCTATATTTCCAAATACACAAAAGTGATTGTTTCTAAACAATTAAGAAATTAAGAATTGATTAATTCTTTTAAATTAATATTTCAACAACTTTATGGTGCAACAAGAAAAAATTTACTGGATTATTATCAATTTGGAAAGAATACAAAACCAAAGCTAAGTCTGCTGACTCTATCCTACCATGTTTCTAAGATAAAACAAAATAATAAAGAGAAGAATTCAAGAAAGACTTCAAGTTGTGAACCAAAAACCTTTCCTGCCTCATCTCACATACTGGTAATAACAATGTGTTAAGCGAGAGGCTCTTAAAAAGAGAATGCAAATTTTCTACTTCCAAAACATTGAACCCAAAGTTCAAGTTTATCAAAGAAAATATTAGCTTGCCATCTGCAAAACAAGGAAAAGATAAACTAAACTAGCAACAGTTCACTTCGTTTCAAAAGTAATACTTAGTGAATTTTATTTTTAGGCCCCACCTTTAAAACCCTGTGTGTTAACGGAAATCCATTCACTGAACCGTGGCTACGAGTGACAACTAAGTCGGGCCCTGAGGGACTGAAGACTACCCCTGTGCCCCCCCCATTTCACAGACACTTTAGTCACAACTGTTACAACTCAAAAAGTGTCTACTTCACCAACAATTCAATTTATGAATGGTATAAACAGCCATGTTGATGCTGGCAGGTAAGCAAGCCCAGCTATCTAAAATATTCCTATTAATTTATTATTTTATTAGAAAAAGCCAAATAGCACTAGTCTTATTTTCACTACTCGTGCAGCCAATAGTGCACTACTGTTTCTGCTAGCAACCAATAAAGTCTACTCTGCTACAAGTAAACTAGGTAAGTTAAAAATCTCGAAATATTTGACATATGACTAATTTCATTATTTTAACACCCGAAACATTAACTGGAAAGACGAGATTCCCTCATTAGTCATTATTCCCTCACTATCCATATCTCAATGAACACATCCTTCCTCACCAGTGTATGACCAGCTCTTGAGAACTGCGTAAACTGTTGAAAGATAAACTGAGGCATATTAAAAATTTTAAGAGTTCATTTGAGCAAAAATCACTTTGAATCAGGTGGCATCCAATCTAAGAGAGAAAAGGAGCTCCAAAGACCTGTATAAAATGAAAGGCAGAAGAGAGAAGGAAAAAGGAAGTTTTACTAGGCAAAAAAAAAAAAAAAAGTGGGTTACTGCAAAGTCACTTTCCTTTTGGGGATGGCAGAGGTCTATGAGTCATATTACCAAACTAGTGCAGACCAGGCATTTCCTGGTTGACTGGTTTAAAATTCCATTTCTGGGAGAGTCAAAACTGTAGTAAGTCTTAGTTTGGTAACACGGGGCTTAGCATAAGTAACTCCATCTTGGGCCTGTTGTTTTGTTTTTAACAAAGCCAATTATATTAATACAAGACTTTAGAGTGAATTGTGTTGAAAAATTCAAGAAGGTGATGCAAAAATATTACCATAAAGCAACAAAGTTGGTCATTATCAAAGTCAGGTCGTTAAATAACTTGACAATCATTTATGGAGCATCTACTAGGTACTGAGGGCACAAATGCGTAAGGCATGGTATGCTCTACCTTGAGGAGCTCTCCAAATAGTGGTGATAAAGAGGGGAGAAAAATATCAAATACAAATAACTGTCTTCAGTTGTATAATCCAAGGAAGCCCATTTTTGAAGAGGTAGTTATCACCCATCAAAGTTGTTTACAGAGAAATGTATTCTAAATTTAACTGTTTTTTACTTTGAAATATTTACATGGCAAAATATTTACATGCCAGATGATAACAAAAATGAGACAACAATCAAATTTGGCTGCATTAAATACCTATTAGTTTAGAAACATGGTGCTAATAAGCATGCAACTGGTAAGACACATTCGGCTAACAGATGTGTTGCAGAGGGCCCAAAGCAAGAAAATGGTCTCTGACCCAATCATCTCTCTGCCCTGTAGGGTGTAAAGGAGGTGTTTTATCATTAACATTTTTATTAATATGCAGTATAAAGGGAAAGACAGGTTGTTTATTTAAATTGTTAGCAAGCTCCACTAGTCTGACAAATTGTTTCTTTTCATGTCAGCCCTAAGCCTAAACAAAATTCTCCCAGAAAAACATCTTTATGTGTCAAATGCTTTAGTGCTTAAGTAAAATAAAGACAAGTAGCTTCTAGACCAGGCAAGTAGCTCTAGACCAGGAAGAGAGAGAGTGTAATCATTCATTTTTTTAAATTAAGACTTGAAATAAACTTTTAAATTTATTTTCTTTAAAAGAAACAACAAAAAGCTACAAAGACATTTTAAATAGAAGATCTTAACAGACATGGAGAATTTTAGCCTCTAATGATGGAATATTTAGACAACATATGTAAATATACAGATGTAAACTTATTTTTTAGGAGTTGTTCATTCTCTTCAGTTCATTAGCTCTTTCTCTTGCCGAGAAAACTGAGAAGCATCTCCAATCACCTAGAAGTCACTAGAGAATTCCACCACATGCATTTTGTACCAAATATTAAACATTTCAGTCTGAGATGTGTCGAGTGATGCAATCTTGTATAAAAGGCACATCAGTGAAATGTCAAATACTGTACCCTACTTCATTGAAAAAAATAAAGAAGGTGACAGGCTAGCTTTAAATAGGAGCTTCTTCAACAAGTAAAGAATATTTTCTTCCATTAGAAGGTTTTTTAAAATTGAGATATCTTTGGGAACTTTAAAGCTTTCCTTTCTTTCAATTTCCCTGTATCCTCCATGACCACCTAACTGGCTAGTGATGCCAGTGCGCCAGCCCTTATTTCCATAGCATGTCCGAAGCCACCCAGCAGCCAGCTGCGTTTCCCAAAGCACAACCCACAATTTTTCTGCTTCCCCCCCTTTTTTTTTTTTTTTAAAGATTTACTTATTTGAAAGAGAGCACCCACGCTGGGAGGAGAGGCAAAGAGAGAGAATCTCAAGCATACTCTCTGCTGAGCGCAGAGCCCCAAGTGGGGCTCAATCACATGACCCATGAGATCACAACCCATGGTATCATGACCCCAGCTGAGATCCCAAGTCAGACACTTAACCCACTGAGCCACCCAGGCGCCCCTCCTCTTCTCCTTGCATACAAGGTTTCCTCTACCTGGAGTGTCCTCTTCTCCACTACCACATAATCAATATTTCAAAGACTGACTTCCTCTTCCATGGAGATCTGTCTGGTTCTCCTGGTCGAAAATAACTCTTTCTCCAAAGTCCAACCTATTCCAGGGGATGGGGATAGAAAAAGGCGAACGTGCACTAGAGGAATAGGAGTTACCGTGAAATTAACACTCTCTCCTGATAGACATCAAGTTAAAACAAGATACAATGAAATACTGATTACATGATAAAAGACAGTATTTTAGAAATAAATTTTGTAAAGATTTTTTGAGTAAGCACTCTCAGGGTCAGGTCAAATTTTAATTATTACAATGTTTTGTTTTGTTTTTTTTTTAAGATTTTATTTATTTGACAGAGACACAGAGAGAGAGGGAACACAAGCAGGGGGAGTGGGAGAGGGAGAAGCAGGCTCCCCGCCGAGCAGGGAGCCAGACGCGGGGCTCAATCCCAGGACCCTGGGATCATGACCTGAGCCGAAGGCAGACGCTTAATGACTGAGCCACCCAGGCGCCCCTAATTATTACAATGTTAACATATATATATGCTATAATGCTAGCACATACAAAATGCTCCGGCACTCACTGCTAAGCCCCAGTACTGTTCCTCTTTTGTGAAAACATTAACTGAACAAGACACTAATCCAACAGGATCTTCTTCAGAAGCATGAACTAATGTCAGTAATAACACATACTGGAAGTGATTTATTAAAGCTTCTCTGTTCATAATTATACAAATAAATTAACAAATTTTCCTTGTATATTAAGGCCATCTGAGGGGCTGCTATTCAAATACACCCTTAGTGGGAACCACTATGACACTCCCTGAATTGAGTATTTCCCTTCAATCTAATCTGCCCACAGAGCTCAGACTGATCTTTCCAAATGCTGCTTTGCATACATCAAATCATATGCCACAAGAATACAAAAACCAAGGGCGCCTAGGTGGCTCAGTTGGTTGGGCAGCTGCCTTCGGCTCAGGTCATGATCCTGGAGTCCCGGGATCGAGTCCCGCATCGGGCTCCCTGCTCAGCAGGGAGTTTGCTTCTCCCTCTGACCCTCCTCCCTCTCATGCTCTCTGTCTCTCATTCTCTCTCTTGCAAAAAAAAAAAAAAAAAAAAAAGAATACAAAAACCAAACCAACCAAACAAAAAAACCTCCAAGAGTTTTCTCTGTCTACAGTATAAAAGCCTAAATCCTTACCCTGGCATTTAGGACCATCCACAGGCCTGCTTTCCTAAATAACATCTACTGCTCCCAATCCATATCCTATCCTCCAACTAACTTGAAGTACAGAGTAATCATACATTCTAGTGGGCCATATACTCTGGCTTGCTTGAGAATAACCCAGTTTATGCCTGTCGCCGTGGAATATTACTAATAGCA